CTGGAGCAAAACAGCCACCGAGAGGGCGGCACGTGAGGCCCACGCGCGGAGGAAGCCGCGGACGAGGGTGGCGCGTGGCAGCACGTGAGGCAGAGATAGAGGAAGCGAACACTGGGGTTGGGTCGCGCTCCTTGAGGCGAGCCAAACCCAAGTGTCTGAGAGGAAAAAGGCGCCGGAGAAGACAGCACTGGCGGCGGACAGCGGTGAACAACAATTAATGCTAGAAAAAAAAACAGAGACAGGCAGAGCGGGATGAACCCGCTCTGATACCAACTTGAAATAGAAAAAAGAAAATAAAGAACTGATTTTGAGAGCCTGAAATCATCTTCTTGTGTTCTCTTATTTATAGGAGATAAAAATACAGATTCAGAGATACAATTAATAGAGATACATGATTAATCCTAGAGAAGATAAACAGATGCATTCTAGGAACTAGGTCTACAACTAATCTCATAAATGTCCAACAATATACATTTAATCTAATAAATACTTCAACAAACTCAGCCAAGATGCTATCACAAAGCATCAACTCTGGTCAACTTCCTCTATGATAGTGCTGTCTCGTGGATATGGGATAATCATAGGAGGATCTCGGCCATAAAGAGCCTTATATGGACTCATTTTTATAGTGGCATTGTAAGAGGAATTAAACCAGAATTCTCCCCATGGTAACCATTTCACCCATTTTCGTGGGTGATCAGAAACAAAGCATCTCAAATACGCTTCAATGGTGCGATTGGTCGCCTCCGTTTGGCCATCGGTTTGAGGGTGGTAGGCGGAACAAAATTTGAGTGAAGTGCCTGACAACCGAAAGAGCTCCTGCCAAAATGTACTTAGGAACACACGATCCCTATCCGAGACTATGGATTTGGGAAACCCATGCAATTTGACAATTTCTTTCACAAAAATAGAAGCCACGTCCTTGGCTGTATATGGGCGCAATATGGGAATAAAGTGAGCATACTTACTCAACCTATCCACAATCACCATAATAGTATCTGCATTCTTTACTTTGGGCAGCCCACCAGTAAAGTCCATAGAAATGTCTTCCTAGACATGCTTTGGAATGGGGAGTGGTTGTAATAGGCCTGCAGGTTTAAGGTTTTGAACCTTACTCTGTTGACACACCTAGCAAGCAGCCATAACCCTTTCTACATCCTGTTTCATTCCATTCCAATGAAAGGCCTTAGCCAAGCGTTTGTAGGTCCGGGTGACACCCGAATGCCCTCCCCATGGGGAAGAGTGAAATTCAGACAACAGAAGTGGGACTCTAGTTGATCCCTTGGGCAAAACAAGCCTCCCTTTGTACCATAGACACCCTTTAGAAACTGAATATTGAGGATGTGACTGTGGATCCCTCACCAGTTCTTGCATAATCACCCAAAGTTGCTCATCAGCCATAGCCTCCTCTGATATTTCCACCAAATCAGCATTGGTGACCATTGAAATTGCACCATAGTCCATTACACATGATAATGCATCCACTGCCTTATTTTCTAGGCCTGGCTTGTATTGAATTTTGAAGTCATATCCCATAAGCTTGGTCACCCATTTAAGTTGCTCCCCAACCAAAACTCTTTATTCTAGGTGGAATTTCAAACTTTGATGGTCGGTCCTGATAATAAAATGATTGCCCAACAAATATTGTCGCCATTTTTGGACAGCAAACACAATGGCCATAAGCTCACGTTCATACACTGACTTCACCTTGTTTCTGTTTGACAAGGATTGACTAATAAAATCCAAAGGTCTACCCTACTGCATAAGAACTACACCCATCCCATTGCCTGAAGCATCTGTTTCCACCACAAACGGAATTTCAAAGTTTGGCATGGCTAAAGTTGGTAGACTAGTAACAACAGATTTCAGCATCTCAAAAGTTGCTTGTGCCTCAACCGACCAATGACAATTGTTCTTCTTTAAGAGTTGTGTCAGGGGCTTAGCAATTATCCCGTAATTGCGTACAAAGCAGCGGTAGTAACCGGTGAGTCCCAAAAATCCATGTAGACTTTTAATATCTTTAGGAATTGGCCACATTGTCATGGCAACAATTTTAGCTGGGTCAACTGATATGTCTGCTGCGAAAATGATATGCCCAAGGTATTCCAGTTGGCTTTCACCAAAACTACACTTTTTTCTGTTGATGCATAGTTCGTGTTGCTGTAACAACTCAAAAACCACCTTCAAATGGCCATTATGTGAAAGAAAATCTTTGCTGAACATGAGAATATCATAACAAAAAACCAAGACGAACCTCCTCAAATGTGGTCGGAATATGTTGTTCATGAGAGCTTGGAATGTTGAAGGAATGTTTGTGAGGCCAAATGGCATTGCGAGGTATTCGTAATGTCCCTCGTGTATTCAGAATGTTGTTTTATGAATATCTTCTTCTCGCATGCGTATCTGATGGTAGCCAGACTTGAGATCCAACTCAGAAAAAATGGTAGCCCCTCCTAGCTCATCCAACAATTCCTCGATAACTGGGATTGGAAACTTATTCAAATGGTTACGATATTCAAAGCCCTATAATCCACACAAAAACGATAGCTTCCATCTTTTTTCTTAACCAAAATTAATGGACTAGAATAAGGGTTTGTGCTTGGTCGAATCAAACCTGAAGCCAACATATCTTGAATAAATTTCTCAATCTCTTCCTTATGGCTATGAGGATGCCTATAAGGACGAATGTTGGGAATCTGTGCTCCTTCCTTTAATACAATGGCATGGTCACACTCCCTATTGGGCGGTAAATTGGAACTCCTTGAATAGATGCTTGAATTTCGATAATAATTCTTGCACATTTTCAGGAGCCTCTTCAATAAAGTTAAAGGATGTCTCCACATTAATTACAGTCATCATTCCCAACTCAACATAAAAAGCTTCTGCTTCATTTCTTAACTCCTTTCTCAAAGCCTTTAAGGATGCCACCGTTCTAGATAATGTTGTATCTCCCTTAATTTCAATGGCTTGACCATCTTGCTGCACCTCTATTAAATGTTGCCGCAAATCCGCCAAGAACTTTCCCAAACTTTTTAACCATTCAAATCCCAAAATTACATCCATCCCTACCAATTCAAATAAAAAGAAATCTTGTATTATCTTCAAATTGTCCACCCCTCTACAAACACCTTGGCCTTCCAACCTTTGACTGCTCCCAACCTCCACACAATATTCCTTAGTCTCTTCTACCGTAATATTCATCTCCTCAACCAGATTTGGTGACAAAAAATTATGAGAAGCACCTGAATCCACCGTAACTATAACCTTCTTTCCTGCTATTATTCCCCATAATTTTAGAGAATTTTTTGAAGTCATTCCTGCGATGCTACTAGCATGTAGATGTAGATTTATTTGACCCTCCACTTCCTCCTCCTTCCTTGATTATCCTGCTCTTCTTCCTCCACCTCACCTAATAGAATCACATGAAGTTGTTTGTTATGACACATGTGACCTCGAGTGTAAGATTCATCACATCTGAAACACAAACCCCTTTGTCTCCTATCATTCTCTTCCTCCTCTGTTATTTTTTTGAAGCTCCGTCCTCTTCGATTTGAACTTGCTGCACTTCCTTCTCCCGAACTTGCTCCAATCTAGTTGGGCTCTCCTTGATTCTCACTTGAGTGCAAATAAGTGGGTGACTTAGGAGTTAAAGTCTAATTCATGGGACCCCTTGAGAAGTCTTGGGCCCCAACTTTTCTTCCGGTCCAAACTGTTTTTTGTGTCAGTGGCCCACTAACTCGAGTGACCGGCCCAAATGTGCGACCCAATAAACGATTCCTTTCTTCCACCTTTTGTGCCATCTCCATCGACGTGGGAAGATCCCCCGAGCTAATTAACCTTATCTCCGCCTTCACCTCGTCTTTCAAGCCATTTATGAAAGCTCCCTTCATGAATTCCTCATCCGTGAATCGGAGCGAAGTTGAAAGAAGTTCGAACTGCTCACGATATTCTGTGATTGACTCCTTTTGTCTTATAGACCCATCAAAGCATCGTATGGATTTTATGTGGTTGCTGATTGGAACCTCCCCAAAACTGCTTTCCGAAAAACCGGCCATGTCATCATCGGAACTCGCGGTTCCCACCATTGAAACCAGTTCAATGCATGTCCTTCTAAACACACCACTATCGTATCCACCCTCTCCGCTGCAGGGATGGTATTGATTTCGAAATATTGGTCCACCCTATACACCCAACCATGGGGGTCATCCCCCGCAAAATAAGGAACCTCAACATGTTTTACCCGTTCTACTCTCCTCTCCTCCTCACGGTCATTGGTACCAGCGCGATTGTCATTATGATTCATGTCCATCTCCACTCTTAAGTCCTGTACCACTGCTTCCATTTGTTCCGTCATGGCCCTCGTCATCTCTTTCATTTGTTTTCGAAAAGTTTCCTGGATTGAAGCTTGCATCCCTTCCAACCTGTGTTCCATATTTTCCATGCGATTCTCCATTCGAGTCAACATCATCCAGAGGATCCCAATATCGGGAGCTCTGATACCAGCTTGATAGGACCTGGTATTATTGAATCGAAAAGGTAATAGCAGCGGAACAGAAAAATACTGAAACCAGAAAATATAAATTAGAGAATGTTCTCTGCACTGTAACAGTCACCCCACAATACCCTTAATTCCTTTCCCTCCCATCTCCTCCTCCACTCTCCCGCTCTTTATTCTCTTTTTCTCCCTACGTATTCCCGCATCTCCTTTCCCCCAACCCTCCTCTGCCACGTGTATAGTTAGTTACCTCCACTCACAATAAACTCATTCCCACTAGTGACCTTTTTACCCCTTCTGCGGTAGTAGTGTTTCCAAGGCCTTTGTTGTTGAGGCCCATCACAACTTCAGAATGTACTTTATTAATTTTAGGAATTAATATTTCCGGGACAATCTTTCCTGTTGATTTTGTTGCTCTTTGACTGGTAACAGTCTTGAGACGGTTATATCTGTTTGCGTATGAAGTTTTGCTGAAAGTTAGACCTGGTAGGTTTTGGACGGTGAGATGTTGAAGATATGGACTGATCGCGCAGCTGAGATTGCAGAGCGTGGATGGTCCTATGACTACACCTTGGAGGACCTCAACATCGATAGTGTGACCATATCACAGAATGGGCAGCGTGCAGTGGTGGAAACAACTCTCACAGAGTCTACTCACCTCAATGCCATAGGTCATCCACAACATGATGCTTCTAACAGCAGAACCTACACAACAAGATATGAGATGTCTTTTTCAGGTCCAGGGTGGAAAATTGTTGAAGGATCTGTCCTTGAGTCGTAAGGACATTATTATTGTGTAACATGTATGTAAATCCATTAGGTTGAATCTTCAATTTCAATCGATCACCCTATATTCACTGCCTTTATATGCACTTCTTTTTAAATGTTGTGCACTGTGCACGTATCATAGTCAAGCTGTAAATACTGGCGGTGTTTGCCATTCCGATTGTCCAGTTTGGATGTCAAACCCCCGGGTTTACTTCCATTTGTTTGGAAACGGAGGATGAAATGAAAAGGAAAGTGTCATATTGTCCATGTTTAGATAATTAGGAAATGAATAAAACTAAAGCTTAATATTGTAATTAACCACTTTAATATCTAATTCTTTTCAAACTTCACAGTGGCCCCCCACTGTTGTAGTTGATTTATCATTTTAGTTCCTGACTCATGTTAATCAATAATCACTAAAGAGCTTCAACGAATGCAGGACAAACGAGGTACTCAATGAATTTAATTTCACGAACCAAGCGTTATACTTTTTAATCACTTTTTACTATTTAATTTTGATATAGCAAAGAGATATAAATCAAGATAGTGACGTCAATTCATATATGAAATTAACATAAACCAGCATTTCTTTTTATGCTTGGGTAGAAGAAAAAAAAAAAAAAGGTAATCAACTACGCTCTGCTACTGAACAGTGTACCTGTTGCATCCGCAAGCAAACTATTATGACAAGCTCGAGGGCATTGAGTAAGGATGAAAACATCACCTACATGACCATCTTGTTATTTGGCTAGACTCTGTCTGCAACTGCAAGTGCTTTCATTCCGCAGTGTGCTGGAAGGTATTGTTCTGAGAGTCGTCTGATGTTATCTAGCAAAGACACGTAAAGTTCATAACATAAAAACGATATAGAAAAGGATTTTACCACACAATTAGAAAAAAAGTGCCCCCTCTCAGCTTTATTTAGATTCAATGCCATCGTCCCTCTCTAGTTTTGTAGTAAGTTCTGCTCAGCTCTATTTAGAATTGCTGCTACGATTGTAGTTGTTACACTTTTATTTATTTTCATAATGTTTGAAGGCTATATTAACTAGCTGTTATATATACCATTTATTGTTTTAAAATACGTGTATCTTTTACATAGGACAATCTTGTTGAAGTTAAGTAGGACTATTATAAAGAGTAAGGGTTTCTTTATTTATTGTTTTTAAAATGAGTAGCTTTTAATTTTTAAAAACTTTGAATAACTTTCAAAAAATATTTCTTTTAATTTAAAAATTATAAAAAATTGATAAAATATGTTTTTATTAATAATATTTATGATTTTATGAATAACTTTATTACATCACTTATTTATGGTATTATAACATTATTAAAATTATTTTTTATTTTTTGGTGTGACTTTTCACTAACATCAACATTATCTTATTTTATCTAAAACAATATTTAAAATAAAATTACCAAATAATTAAAAAAAAACTCTATCTAAAATTATTTTTAGAAATTAATAATAAAATTAAATTAGATAAATTTTATTTCTTTATCTAATGTATTACGTTACACATAGAAGACTATACATTTAAATCAATAAGAATAAACTTTCTTTAAAATTATTATTATTAAGTTAAATACTAAATTATCAAATTTCATTTTGGACCGGAGTCTTGAAGCTTGATGTGTTCAGGCAAAATTTCAATAAATAAATAATTTTTTTTTATTGCAAGCACTCATTAGTTATAAAAATTATCAAATAATTATTTTTAACTTTATGGAAAAATCAAAATGGCTCTATAATGATTGCATGTAAGATTTTGCCAACACATGTATGGAAATTCATAAAAATAAAAAAATATAATGATGAAATATTATCCTAAAAGTATTATTGAAGTAGTGGAAACCAGAAATAATCACAAGGATATAGGAGAATAGAAATAGTAGAGATAAAGAAGCAATGGAAGAATAGAGAGAAACCACCAAATACCCATTTCCTCCCTATTCTTAATAAATACTATCCTCAATCTTAGTCATACAAAAATCATAACCATCCATTTAATGTGCCTAAGAAACTTGGTGTCGCGTGCTCTTCATCACTTTAACTCATTATGTACCTCCTCGAAGGATATGACATTACTCTCCCAATAAAGAGGGACCTTGTCCGTAAGGTCGTTGAGTTGCTGCAAGGGTAAATGAATAACTAGAGTAAAAGGATCACCATGACATGTTTTGAACAACTAAACATGGAACACCAAATGAAATTTTGCATGTTAAGGGAGCTCTAAAAGATAAGCCACAAATTCTACCTAAGACAAGACCTGTAAAGGGTCAATAGTGCATGTCCAACTTGTGAGTGTGTTGCAAACGAACTGAATATTGACAATATGGTTGAAGTTTGACAGAGATAATTACCTACAAAAACCTACAACTTAGTATGGTGCTTATCTGCATAAAGTTTCATACATTTTTTTGGATAATTAGATACAAAGCAACAAAAATACTTTAATACATTTGTTAATTGCCTCTGACTAGTCATTTATTAATTGCCTCCGACTAGTGATTTGTTTAAGGATCATAGGTCGAGCTCATCTTCAATAAGGTACCTTGCAACTGAAAATGGTGTGGCCAAAAGGAATTAATTACACATTGTCCCTATTGGAAACAATGGAACGTGGAAACCCATGTAACTTAACCACTATAGCAACAAATAATTCATCAACTTATATGGTAGAAAAATAAGCACACTGGTGCAAAATGTGAATACTTCAAAGGGTGACCCACAACCACAAATATAAAAATATAATTGATGGGATAAAGTTAGTTAGGTCACACAAAATATATAAAAATATCATTCCATACTTTATTAAGAATGTATAGAGGGCTCCAATAGGTGATGCTTAGACATATTGGACATGTTAACACTCTAGACAAGCACTGATGAACTAAATAATATCATGTTGTATTCCTTGTAAAGAAAAGGAAGTCAAAATGTGTGTATACATACACAAAAACCTAGCATGACGATCAATATGTGAAAATCTTATAATATTAGTAAGAAAATTGTTTTATGATAGAATTTAATAATAATATAATCAATTTTATTTCTTTATTTATGCACAATTATGTACAATATTTATAGAGAAAATATTTCCTTAATTTTTAGGGATAGATTAATGTATTGGTTTATTACTTTGTATTCTATTTATACCTCTGTATTTTTTTTAAAATAAGAAATACACAATGTATTTTCTGCATGGTATCAAAGCTCGATTTGGACCATCTATAACCTAGCGCAACCAACCATGGAAGAGAACAAGACAGAAAATTCAGTCACCAGTTTGGTCGAAGGACCTGCTATTCCTATCATTGGTCATAAATTGAATGGCCAAAATGGTGCGTTCAGTTAAAATCTTCCTTCAAGAAAAAAGAAGGGAAGGTTACATAGAGACTCCAAGTGTCCAGTAGAAGATGACCCTAACCTCAACAAATGACAACTAGAAAACAATTTAGTTATGTCATGGTTACTCAACATCATGACCAATGAAATTGGGGAGAATTTCATGTACCATGACACTGCCAAGGTGATGTAGAATGCAATGAAGGAAACCTACTCAAATGTGGACAATATGTTTGCGGTATTTGAGATCAAGAGCATACTCCATGAACTGCGACAAGGTGATTTCTCAATTACTGAGTATTTTAATACACTTAGCCGACATTGACAACAACTAGACATATATGAAGACGTTCAATGGAACTATGTCGAGGATAAGAAGAAGTATAAAGAATTGGTGGAGAAAGATAGGATCTACAAGTTCTCATTGGGGTTGAACACAGAATTTGATGAAGTCCGAGAGAGAATCCTTGGAACCAAACCTGTTAAAACAATCCAGGAAATATTTTTAGAAAGTGAGAAGGGAGGAAAGCAGGAGGAAAATAATGCTTGGAAAGTCAAGTGCAGCCCCATCCATTGAAGGCAAAATAATGGCAGCAAGGGGGAACCAATCTCATCCATCTTGTTAGATATGATTAGATATTAGTTGATATTGTTTGATATTGTTGAGATATTGTTAGATATTGTTAATCACAATATCAAATAATATCTTTTTATTTACCCTATTTGTATTCTGTTACTCTTTTGAGGAGTACCTTTCTTTATTATAAATACACTGCCCTATGTGTGGTAAATACATAAGGGAAATTAACCCTATACAGTTTTTCCCTATATTCAACATGGTATCAAGAGCTTAAGGTCTCTTGGGATTTTTTCGGCTCTGCCACTGAACCTGCAGCTGTCGCCGCCTCCATCGCCGCCGCCGTCGCCACCACCGTCCGCCGCCGCCGCCGCCGCCGTCGCCGAGCACAGGGTTTTGCTCGCCTCCTCCGTGCGACCTCCACCGTGGAAGTTTCGCAGTCATCGGAGCAGCCACGCTCCCTCACGCGCCTCCCGAAGCCGCGCCACCTTCTCCCGTTCCGTCGCGCGTGGCGGCGCGTCTCGCCGCCGTTCAGGCCGCCGATCTTTGCGCCGGCGTCGCCTCCTTCTCCTCTCTCTGGATCTGTCCTCGCTGCTCCAATCGGACCTCTTTGGTGTTTTAGGGTTTTCTCTCTCTTCCTCCATGGCATCTTCCGCTGCCACTTCCAATTCTGAAGTTACCTCTGTCGACTCCGTTGGTCTCGAGCAATCTGTTTTTACTAATTATGTCAATGTGAATTTACCCATTGATAAATTAGATGGTACGAATTATGCAACTTGGGCATCTGATATTAGACTTTGGCTTGAGAGTCAGGGGTATGTTGATCATCTTACTACCAAGGTAGATGATGTTCCTTCTAATGATCGTGTCCGTTGGAAGAAAGTTGATGCTCATATATGTATGGTTCTCAAGAATACCATCCAATCTTCTTTAAAACAAATTTTTCGATCGTATGGCACATGTTATGACGTTTGGGAACAAGCCAAATTATTATACACCAATGACACTAAACGTCTTTATGGTGTTTGTTACAATCTTCTTGATGTTATTGCTCCTCGAGATAAGGATCCTGTGGCGGATTATGTGGGTAAGATCCATGCTCTTCTCCATGAATTTAATGAGTTATTACCCCCTGCCTCGACTCCTGCCCAAGAATTAGAGCAACGATCAAAGTTTTTCATGGTTTTGATGTTACACGGACTTGCTGATAAATATGCCCCTGTTCGTGACTAGATTTTGGGTTCCCCTGTTACACCCAGTTTTACCGCTACCAGTTCCTCCCTTTTGCGGGTGCCATGTAAACCTCTCAATATTCCCCCTGTAGTTTCTAATGATTCATCTGCCTTGGCCTCTCACCATGATGATCGTAATCGCTCTCACAAGCCAGGCAAAGGGCGTGTCAAGTGTGACCATTGTGGCAAACTAGGCCACAAAATTGACAAATGTTATGCTTTACATGGTTATCCTCGCCGATCTGCTGCAGTTGCTCAGACTGATTCTTCCGCACAATCCTCTGCTGTGGATCCTCCTTCGTCTGTACCTTCAGACAAATCTGCTATCTTCAATGATTTTCTTCAATGGTATGAGGATCGAAAGCCCTCCAGTTCCACTACTTCTGTTGCCCACACAGGTACATCTTTTGCTGGTCTGACTCACTCTTCTTCTATTGGCCCTTGGGTTCTTGACTCAGGCGCCACCGATCACATCACTGGTAACAAATCCTTATTTTCCTCTTTCACTTCTTCTCATAATTTACCCTCTCGTTACAATGGCTAATGGGTCTACAACTTTAGCTCATGGTGTTGGAACAGTTACTCTTTTCCCTCGTTGTCCATTGATAATGTTTTGTATGTACCCGGGTCCCCCTTTAACTTATTATCCATTAGCCGTCTAACTCGATCTCTTGATTGTGTTATCTC